AGACTTGATTAGTTTGCTGTCATATTCTAACTCACCTTTTGTTGTAGTTGTTTTCCTTTAGCAGCAATGGCCTTCTTTGCTTCCTCATACTTAGTCTGTGAGAAAGGAAACACATTAAAGATGTACACAACACTTTTTTTACGCTTCATTGAGCACTGCAAGTACATGCAATGTAAAAAAAACTGTCGCTACTTTGCCAATGACCTTTTCAAGAAACTACAAAAAAAATGAGCACAACAGAAAACAGAGAGATTACAAAGAAGGTTTAAAAGGAGAAGAAGTTAATTTTACAAAGCATCTTTTTCTCTAATCATACTCACATCTATCTGATGTACAAACATTGGTCTGGAAAGAAAGAATGCCGCATCAGGTGTGAGGTGATAAGTTTGCCCTAAGACATCTAGTGACGGCAGATGTGACTCATACTCTTCAGCAGTTAACTGTGATGCAAGGAAGCCACCAAACTGGACCAGAGTATCTTGACACTGAACAAAAATAACAGAACCAAATGGCTATGGTAAGGACATTTGAACATGATTTTTAAACTCATCACTAATAGATGAGCTTGGGAACTGGTGCCTTGTAGGTCAGCAGAGGGGGGAGGGGGCTGAGCACTTCAGGCACAGCAAAGAGGTATCCATGGCAACCCTATGAGTGGGAACCACCCCTACATGCAACCACCGCTTGGCACCATCAAACTGAACAGAGTTCAGTGGAGAAATACTTACCTAAACCCATGAACCATGAGGGTAGGAGGGCTAGGGGCAAGAATCCACAATGATTCACAGAAAAGTAAGCTATTGTTTAAATATCCACAGCCAGTGATGCACAAAGATCAGCTCAACACATAAATGATCCACGAAAATCAGATGTAAAGTGACACAAAATGTATGGAGGCCACGAAGTAAGCTCAAGCTCCTGAGGTCGTCCTGTAGGTCACATACGCAAATGGGGGTTGACCACTGACAACATTGGCTTCAGATTAATTTTGCCTAGATTGCATTTAGCCACATTTAAAATTTACAGAACATTCAAAACTCTGCTAAAGGACGCTTCTGATGCACTTAACAGTTGTAGCAAAGTCACACAACTTTTTTTTCACAATATTATTTCTTTACCTCCAATTAATCTATCCTACAAAACAAGAAATTATTTTTTTCACACCTGGTCATAGAGCTTTCCAACAAGCTTCAAATGCCTGTCAGGATCTTCATAGAACACAATGCCATTTCTCTGCTGAGCCATAAGAAGACACAATGGCAAGTCTAACTTTCCTTCTAACAGTGTGTCACGCAGACGCTGTGAAGACTTCTTTGTGTTTCTTATCTGACCAAAGTATCCACCCTGCAAACAATAAATTAATCAATTAGTAATCAATAGAAATGAAAAACCTTCAAAACAATATTTTTTCCCATCTACATTCAGATGTAACTATGCTGAGTCTTACAAGACTTAAGCACCATTAAGATAAACCAAGCGGACTAGCCGGCTGGAAAAAATTGCTTATAGATTGGTTTTCTGTCAATTGGCACTTTTATTTCATCAGATTTAACACCAGTTTGCTTATCCAACTTACTCAACTCACCAATCGTAATAAGGTTTATTTGCATAAACAAACTGATAAGTTCTTAGCAATTTTTTTTTAACCTAAAGAAGGCAGCAGTGCAAAATGTTGATACTTTTTACCTTTATCTAGCATCACAAAAAAAATCTCTTCTTATCTATCTGCTTATCCAACGAGCCAACCTTTCTTCTCTCCCTGCAATTAATGACACATGTATTTACCTCAGCCCTTAGAAGTTCACCACCTGACAGAGCTTCTAGTTGTGCTGCTGTCACCTCTTCTGATATCTCAATTCCAGACATTTTCTGTACCACCTCCTTCAGGACAAGCAAATCAAAGCTCTTCCCAGCCTTGAGCTGGTTTGCCACATACTGCAGAAGACCTGTAAGTTCAATGGAGTACTTGCGGAAAACAGTGCCACAAAACACTGCTAAACCTTTAAAAAAAAAAGGAATATGGAGGTCAGGTTAAACAAGACAGGAAACAAAATTCACTCTTTTGGTGCTGTGCTAAGAGTGTCCTTTTAGAGTTTTCACAATGGTCATATATAATGGTCACACATACACTGTATGGAAGGATGCAGTCAGAGTTGCAAGATATTATTTTCAATGAAATGTTTAGGAAATTTTTTCTTAACAAACTGAGACCAAATCTCAATATACAATCTGACTGAATTTGTGCCAAAACTTTTAATTGATTTAAATCTTTTCGTGCTTTTAAACAATTTTTTAAACCAGATCAGTGGAAAGTTGAAAAAAAAAAACACCCTGTGAGTTTGGCCCTCATCAGTTGTGTTTCTTATCATGATAATTGTCAATGATTTTGATTAAACATCATCTGAGGAACCAACACTAACTCAAAGACAAATTTCGTATCTTTTGCTTTTGAGCATCCCAACTTCTTATCTTTTAACTTGATAATGACTGAAGAAAGGTTGAAATGTTGTTTGGACCTTTAACCACTAATTTTTACCATAAATTGTTTGAAAAACAACCCTTACATAAAAGTACCTGAATGCTACTAAAATAATATTGACTATCCTACATGTATGTGGCAAAGTGGCATTTTCATAATTGAGAGAAAGTGGCGGGTCAATCGATTACCAAAAGTAGTGCCAGCAAAATTGTAAGAACAAGGTTTCATACTTTTTAGCCACTCTGAAATGTTAGTGTCTTCATGTTTTAGTCTTTCTCTTTCTGGATTTGCCAGAGCTTCAATAATACAATCTATTATCATGTTAAGGAAGCTCAACAGTAACCACTATGGGCATATCAACATACTAACATTTATTCTCATCACTAACCCTGAGGAAATTTAAAATAATTTTTTAACCAGATCAAGGGAGAGTTGGAAAAAACACCCTATGAGTTTGGTCCTCATCAGTTGTGTTTGTTATCACGATAATTGTCAATGATTTTGATTAAACATCATTTGAGGAACCAACACTAACTTAAAGATAAATTTTGTATCTCTGTGCAGCAGTGTAACATCCTCTATGTATTTTTCCATCAAATAATGTTTGTACTGCAATGCAACTGAACATGTATATATTGTGCACATCAAGGATACAAGCTAAAACATCGTATGCCAGTGGAGTGAGGTACTTGAGCGAGTCCACTACTGGTCCAATAAAATTATCATACTTCTGAATCTGTGACAACAGCTGTGTACAAACAAGGCAACCATTAGTCGGCATCAAATTTGTATGACTTTTTGTAGCACATTTTCTTGAACTCTCTTTCAGTTTTCAGCCATGACATCTTTTCTGTTGTATTACATATTAATTACGGGAGCAGGAATAGTGCAGTGGTGAGACTGCTTGCCTTCCACCAATGTGGCCCAGGTTTGATGCCGGCTTGGTATCATATGTGGGTTCAATTTGTTGTTGATTCTTGACTTTGCTCTGAGGGTTTTTCCCTGGGTTCTCCGGTTTTCCTCCCTCCACAAAACCTAACATCTCCAAATTCCAATTCGACCAGGATAGAGGACCTGCATGAAAACCAGCTAAGGCTGATGCGGCTTCTTCTCTAAATATTATAATTTATTTATTTTATTTTAAGATATTACACGTATCGTCATTGAACAGGAGACCAGCTAGGATATTTCACACAATGAACTTCTTGTACTAGCCCCTAAATGGAATAAACATTTGCACAACAGCAGAAATGAACAACTTACATATTCAAACAAGATGCCTGGATTACTGTGGCTAAGTTTGCCAATCTGCCTTCCAGAGGGTTTGACATTCTCTTTGGTTAATCTCCTACAAAATAATAACAAAATTTTGAACAATTTAAGTATTCTGAGCAAGTGAGAAAAAACATGAACAAGAAATCTGTACTGTACACTGTACAATGCAACTGAGCTTGCTCACAGTACCTGTCTATTTTTAAACAAAAGAGTGAAATTGCAAACAAACATGGCAAATGTTACTTCTACAATGCCACTGCCTTCTTTATAAAGAGGCATGAAATTTTCTGATCCATGCAACCTTAGTAAGCAGTTACTAGATTGGTTAACAGGGGTCACCACAAACTACTTATAGCTTGTCCAGAACACTTGAAGGTGACTCACTTCGTAATGTATTTTGCTCTCTTTATTGTCGCGGCCTTTGCCAAGACCATTTTTGGATGATTGCCATATGACTCATTTTTCCACTGACCATAAAGTCGATACCTAACAAAAAATAATAATACGGTAAGTTACATTTGCACAACAGCATGAAACTTTCAGGTGGCACAATTCTCAGGATCAGTTGAAGCATAGAATTAAACCCAGTTTAAGAACTAAATTAGGGGATTGTCTCCAATGCATAAACAATGATTAACAGACATTTTAAACCTAAAGTTCAGACTAACACCACAATATTAACCTTGCACCACCAAAATCAATTATTATGGAACCCTACCTTGCAACCACCCTGTTAATACTGCCACCATGTTATTACGGCCACTTTACTCTGGTCCGAGCAAAAGCTCAGTCAATCATTTTCATATTTAAAGAGCTCCTTAAATACGGCCACTCCATTAATTCGGCCATGATTTCTGTGGCCCGTTGGTGACCAGATTAACAGGGTTCCACTGTATTTATCTGAGTGAAATGTACGTGGATGAACGAATGAAGTGACAGATTCTTTAGCCACAGCATCAGAGACCCACTGTTAATCTAGGAAGTTTGCGGCACTGAAGGTGAGCAAGACTAACTGATCTCCTTTACGAGAGGGAAACCAGAACACCTTCCATGCAATAGAGCTTCACTTCCAGCTATCAATATAACAGTTCTCTCTACTGGCAAGGCTGAAACTTTCCTTCAATTATCCATTTGTTTATTATCAATACATCTATGCCTGACTTTGTATTATAAAATAATTGCCTTCGATATATTAGATGCAGATCTCAAAAAAGTTGCAAACTACCGTATCACAGGACCATTCAACAACACTTCCTAACAAGTTACACAACGAACATGGTGTACCTGAGCTCATAAGGAAAACGACACAGCATGGCCCACAGCTCTTCTGCTAAGCTGGAGTTGCATTCAAGGAGTGAAATTGAAGGTAAAAGAACTTCATCTACCAGTGTCAAAAGGCCACACCAGACTTTCTCAACCTATAATGTTAACCAATATTAACAGTGCTGTTACCATTCTGGTGGTGAAAAAAA